TGTTGTTGTTGTTGTTGTTGTTGTTGTTGTTGTTGAACATTATTTATTCTAAAGAATAATTATTGTTGGGACCCCTGGTGCGCGACCCCCTCGCCGCGCCTAGGCCGCAGCTACATTTTCATCATTTTCGTGAGGAAGCCTCAGGTAATACGATGTCATCAAGATCCGGTTGTTTTGTTCCCCCCCGCTGTCCCTTGCAAAAAACACTATAAAATGAAATTTCTTGTTCTAAAATAACCAAACTTCAAGAATCCCTTGCAAAAAATAAGGTAAAGTGGACATTCGCGCGCGCAAGACGAAATCCTTCCAAAACCTTAGTGTTCGTAACGATTTCAACATAAAAACATCAAAAAACCAATGGTTTTTTTTTTTAAAAAAAAGTGTCACAATTTCATCCCGCGCGCTCTTGCGGATTTGCAGGAAACCCAACACTTTTTAAACATTTCTGTCAAACGGGCTTTTGCGATCAACTTTTTCGAACTTCTGCAACAACGGTTGCGCACCTGCCAGGGCCATCATCCCTGTCAAATAATACCATGCGGGACACATGTCAAATAAGTCATTGAAACCATGCGCCAGTGTAGTAGCCACGGTCGTCCGCATGCCACGAAGTGAAGTGTCCGAACGTCATAGGGCGGGAAGCTGGGTGTGGGTGGTGGCGAAGAGTCGTTTGGAAATGTGGTAGAGCTTGAACCGGCCCCCCCACAAAGTGGGGGTATTGGCGGGCGTCGTATGAAAACCCTGGCGCTGGTGAGAACACTGAGCGTTCGGGTAAAATGATTGTTGTTGTTGTTGTTGGTGTTGAATCTTTCATTTCTGGAAAATATTGTTGATCCCCCCTCACTGGTGCATATTTATTCTCCATCAAAGTGTGTCCCTGACGCCTGCACCCTGTTTTTGACGGGGAAAGTCTTGATGCTCAAACTGCGCCCCTGGCCCCCGGGTTACAACAACAACGGCTCCCGCTTGAGACTTCCTCACAATTTAGCCAGGACCCCCGCTCCAGCCCGAGATTTCCTCACATTTTATTTAGGAATCGCGCGTTCGCTTTGGAGCTCCTTGCAATGTATTATGGAATTGTTCTCCCGGCGGTGTGGAGTCGCGCTCTCGCTGGAGACTTGCTTGCACTTTACTGAAGAATAGCGCCCTTGCGTTGGAATGTCTTGCAATTTGCTCAAGCGCCGCGCCCCCGACACCCAGGCACCCAGGAGTCGCGCCCGTTGTGGCCCCATGTGCGTGCCCTTCGTGGCCCCGCTGTCGCCGTTTGTGAACCCCTCAGTGCCCTACGTGGCCCAGTTGCTACCCTCAGTGGCCCCATCGTTCCCTTCTGTGGCCCCGCATTATCTGCCCTTCGTGGCCCCCGCTCGTTCGCGCTCTTCGTGGCCCTATACGCATTCCCTTCGTGTCCCCGCTGTCGCCGTTTGTGGCCTACGTCGTGTCCTTCGTGGCCCTGCTGTCGTTCTCTCTCGCTCTCGCTTTCGCTCGTCGTCGCCGTCGTCGTCGTCGCCGTCGTCGTCGACGTCGTCGACGTCGTCGTCGGTCCCCTGTCCGTCCCTCGTGGGGTCGGGTCGACGGTCCGCGGCCGCCCCGCAGATCAGCGCTGCCGCTGGCCAGGTCGACGGTCCGCGGCCGCCCCGCCGCTTGCCGGGGCCCGGCCTGCAGGGAAGAAAGGTCTACCCACAAAGGGGTTCGATCGAAGACGCAGATGGCGGGTATCGAGGGTTTGGGAAATACGCGTTGTTGGACACTCGAGCAGATAAGGGCGAACAGTCTTAAAACGATTGTTGTTTTTTTTGTTTGTTGTTGTTGTTGTTGTTGATGTTGATGTTGATGTTGTTGTTGTTGTTGTTGTTGTTGTTGTTGTTGTTGTCGTTGAGTTCCCATTCCTGAAGCATTTATTGTTGATCCCCCAGTGCACCCAGTTTTTTCTTTTTAGTTTCCTCATCACAATTTATACGGGAATCGCTTTATCGCGCGGAAATTCTTCATACTGTATGCAGACATCGTGCTCTCGTGAAGTTTCCTCGCAATGTATTGCGGCGCCGTGCCCACTGGACTCAGGATTCACGCTCTCGCGCTGGCTTTCCTTACGATGTACTTGGGGATCGCGCTATCGCTCGAAACTTCCTTGCGGGTCATGTTGAATTGACGCTCCAGCGACCCGCCCCCTCGACCCGGCTGTCTGGGCCCGCCCGCCCGATTTGCCCGTTAGAGCCCGCCCGCCCGACCCGCCCGTCTGGTTCTGCCGCTTGCACTTCTGTTCTCACCCTGCTCCTACATGTCTGTCTCGTGCTCCATGGTTCTCCCTGCCCCCTGTCTCTTTCCTCATCCCTTGCTTTCCCTGTTTTAAGGGCTGCGCCAACTACACGTTGCAGTTAGGTAAGATGTACCTTCAACGAGGGTACGATCGAAGACGACAAGGGCGTGTAACGAGGGTGTGGGATATACGTGTTGAATGGCACGCGACCAGAAAAGAGCGAACAGTCTTAACATGTGTTAGTGTTCATGTCTAAAAAAGCTATTGCTGATACCCCCCGCCTGGTGCTCCTTGTGTTCTTCAAAGTCAGTGCTCCGCCAGGGGCTCTCACCCTGCTTTTTTACCAGGAGAAGTCTTGCCGCTCAGATTGGACCCCTGGCCCCCGAACTACAACAACAGCCACTGCCGCGTGACACTTCCTCACAATTGATTTGAGAATCGCGCTCTCGCGCGGTACTTCTCATATTGTGTGCAGAAATCGCGCTCTCGCGTGGTATCCCCTTGCAATGTACTGCGGCGCCGTGCCCCCTCAAACTCGGGAATCACGCTCTCGCGCTGGATGTCCTTACGATCAATTTGGGAATCGCGCTATCGCTCGAAACCTCCTTGCGATTCATGTTGGATGACGTTTCAAAGACTCGCCTGCTCGACCTGGCCGTCTGGGCCCTCCCGCCCAACCTGCGCGTTAGGGTTCGCCCGCCCGAACCGCCCGTCTCGTTCTGCCACTTGTACTCCTGCTCCTAACCCTCCTGCAAATCTGTCTTGTGTTCCTTCCTTCTCCCTCCCCTTTGTCTCTTCTCTCCTCCCTTCCTTCCCCTGGGCTGCGCCAACTACGCGCGACAGGTAGAGAAGATATACCCCCAAGGGGGGTACGATCGAAAACGAATGAAGAGGGCGGGGAGCAGATAAGAGCCAGCAGCCTTGAAATGATTGTTGTTGTCGTTGTCCCACTCGCGACCCCGCCCGCGACCCACCCCGCGACTCACCCGCGACCCACCCGCGACCCACCCGCGACCCACCCTGCGACCCACCCCGCGCCCGCCTCTTCACTCTTATCCGCAACTGCGGGGTGCTACACAGTCAGTGTGAGGGGGCCGAACGGTCTACTTTCCACAGGTGCGTGGCTGAAGAGGGTCTCCGCGGTGAGGATTCTTGCTGTTTTGTTTTGTATTGTTTTGTTGTCGTCGTCCCACCCGCGACCAACTCCGCGACCCACCCGCGACCCACCCCGTCACTCACCCGCGACCCCCCCCGCGATTCACCCGCGACCCACCCTGCGACCCACCCGCGACCCACCCGCGACCCACCCCGCGACTCACCCGCGGCCCACCCCGCGATTCACCCGCGACCAACCCTGCTTTCCACCCGCGACCCACCCGCGACCAACCCAGCGACTCACCCGCGGCCCATTCCGCGACCCACTCTGCGACCCACTCTGCGACCCACCCGCGACCCACTCTGCGACCCACCCGCGACCCACCGGGCGACCCACCGGGCGACCCACCCGTGACCCACCCCGCGACCCACGCGCGACCCACCCCGCGCCCGCCTCCACTCTCATCCGCGAGGAGGCGACCGAGGATGATGACCAGTGTTCTGCAGCACACGCCATTAATGCTGCAGTGCACCTCCCAGACCTAGCCTTAAGTCGGGCATGTCACTCTACAGGAGGAGTATCCAAAAATAGTACCAAATAGTATGTGGACGATTTTTCGACCATTTTCGACTATTTTTGAACATTTTTTTGTTTATTTTTCAATTTTCGTCCAAAATCCGCCTGTAGGAGGAAATGCCCGACCTAGCCCGCTTCTCACACGTAGTTGCGCAAAAGCATTCCCGTTCGCTACGGGCAGCGCCCACAGGGTGGTGGCGACACGTTTGGAGCACAACCAACCTGGAATGGTCAAGACGTGGCCATGTGTTCGGATGCAACGCCGGGGAGGTCAAACTCTGACTTTGCCCTGGTCCGAAATCCGGCTTTATCCGGCTTATTCCCGCTTAATCCCGCTCAATCCCGCTGATCCGATTTAATCCCGCTTAATCCGCGGCCTACTCCAGCATATCAGCCCCCAAATGGGGCTTAATCCTCTTTATTTTTTCCGACGAAGACCTCCCGGTAGTTGCCTCCGAACATGTGTCATACGAGCTTGCCCTGATTGGAATGAAACTGCGAGCACCAGCGATCCATGTCTGAGAAGAAGCCGCCCCCCACCCATGTAGCTGTATACGTTTTGAAGACCCGGTGACCGCCCGCGGGGCCGTGGCAAGGGCGCGAATTTGAAGAGACCTCCACTCGTCGTCCTGTAACTAAGCCGTCTTGGAGGCCACCGTGGCCGTCCTGAGGCCGAACAGAGCGCTGGAGAGCAAACTCAGAGAGGCCGAGTGTCTAACCACTCGTATGGGGGGGGGGGAGGGCCGTCCATGCAAGACATTAATCGACCTTGAGAGGCAACAGAGGGGCATTCTAACACGCCCACTCCGTGCAGGCACATTGGCGGATAAGGGGGGATAAGCAGCCAGATGATGACGACCATGCTCACTATACAGAACGCGGGTAATGATGGGGGGGGAGGCTGAATGAACTGATGTTGATACGTTGATCAGGAGGATCAGGAGCATGAAGAGGATGTGGAGCCGAAGGACGCGGAGACGTGAGAAAGGACGGGGAGGTGAAGCACCCTGAGGATGGGGCCTGGCCTCGAGGGCAGCCACGAGGCCCACCCCGCGGGCGTCTCCCCCCGAGGACGCCGAGAAGGCCAAGGCTGTCTTGACGAAGATCAACCGCCCCTATCTGGTGCGCGGGGTCGGGCCCGCAGCAGCGGCGCTCCGAGCGGATGCGCGCGGTCTCCAGGGAGGGCGAGGAAGGAAATGATGGTGGCCGGGGATGGGGGGGAGGGGGGAGGAGGAGGAGGAGGAGGAGGAGGAGGAGGAGGAGGAGGAGGAGGAGGAGAAGGAGGAGGAGACGGGGGAGGAGGGGCAGAAAGAACACGATGAGTTGACGACTGATCCTGCTGCTGATGGAGTTGGTGATCATGATGGTGATGGTGAAGGGGATCATGATGCTGCTGATGATGATGCTGATGATGATGGTGGTGATGATGGTTATGCTGCTGATGGTTATGGTCATGGTGATGACGATGATATTGATGATCGCGATGAGGATGTTGATCATCATTGAGATAAGACCATGCTACTGCTGCCGGTGCTGATGATGACGATGACGACGACGATGTTAATGATCCATATGATGTGCATGCTAAGAATGTACAATACTACTGTACTAATGCTGATACGGATGATTCTGTTGATGCGGTTGCTGCTGCTGAGGTTGTTGATGATGGTGGTGGTGTTGATGCAGGCGAGTAGGGTGATGCTGCTGTTGTTGATGATGATGATGCTCGCACTTTTGATGGCGACGACGACGACGACGATGATGATGATGATGATGATGCTGCTGATGATGATGATGACGATGATGTGTATTGTGTTGGGGGTGGGGACGATGAGTTTGCTACTGATGCTGTTGACACCGATGCTGATGCTGATGCTGATGCTGATGATGATGATGATGATGATGAAGATGCTGATGGTGCTGGCGGTGGTGGTGGTGGTGGTGATGGTGATGCTTACGATGCTGATGATGCTGATGCTGATGCTGCTGATGCTGATGCTCATGATGATGATGATGATGATGATGCTGATGGTGATGATGTCGATGCTGAGATTGATGACTGTGACAATGCTGCTGCTGATGATGCTACAGATAATGATGATGCTGATGATGCTGGTGATGGTGTTGTTGACGATTGTGATGTCGATGGCGATGTTGATACTGATGATTCTGATGATGATGCTGATTATGCTGCTGATGATGATGGTGGTGATGATGACGACGACGATGCTGGTGATGCTGATGATGCTGATGGTGCTGATGATGATGTTGCTGCTGGTGCTGATGCTGATGCTGCTGCTGATGATAATGAGGTATATGCCGAATATTTCGATTATTGTGATGGTTATGGCGATGGTCATGGTAGTGACGAGTATGATGATGACGACGATGATGGTGATGGTGATGAGGATGATGCTGATGATGATGATGATGATGATGATGATGATGATGATGATGATGATGATGATGATGATGATGATGATGATGATGATGATTTTTGGACAGATCGTGGGGCTGTCTCGAGCGGCGCGCTGGTGTTCGCCCCCCGAGGGGGGAGCCGCCATGGATGGGGGACGCTGGCCCGTCCGCGGCCAGATCGTGGGGATGTTTAGAGCTGTTTGGTGGCTCGGACTCCTACGCTCTCGTGGCGTGCTGTGAGGATGTCTCGAAGGAGGCGCTGGTTTCAGCACCCAACAAGGGGGATGCGACGGGAGCTTTCTCGCCCGCTCGCGTGTAGAAGAGGATGTCTCAAGCAGCTCGCCCGTTTGGTGGGTCAGGCTCCCTTGCCGTCAGAGCATTTTGTGCGGATGTCTCCAGCGAGGCGCTGGCTTCAGCACCCACTGATGAGCCGCCGGGGGCATGACGCTCGCCCGTTCGCGGCCGCCTTGTGGGGACGTCTCGAGCGAGGCGCTGGCCGTGGGTCTCCGGCTCCTGTCCATTCGGAGCCCCGTGATCGCCTCGAGGCAAAGGGGGAGCGACGGCCGCCTGGAAGGGAGGGAGGACACAGCAGGAAGGAGGAGGGAGGAGGGAGGAGCGACGAGGAGGAGGGCGCAGCAGGAGGGAGGAGGGAGGAGGGAGGAGCACAGTGGGGAGGGGCCGCGACGAGGCGGGCGAGGAGTGGGAGGGGAGGCTGCCGCCGAGCCAAGGGCGGGGGGACTTGCCAGGGAACGAGCAGGGAGGAGGACGGAGGAGGAGAGAGGACGGAGGAGGAGAGAGGACGAGGAGGAGGAAGGAGTAGAGCGTAGGAGGAGGGAGAGCGACAGCCGCCAGGGAGGAGGGGGAGGAGGAGGAGGAGGAGGAGGAGGAGGAGGAGGAGGAGGAGGAGGAGGAGGGACGAGGGAAGAGGAAGGAGGAGGTCGCAGGAGGAGGGAGAGGGGAGGAGGCAGCAAGATACGTTCTGCGACGAACGGGACGAGGGAGGAGAGGGGGGATGGGTCCTGCTCAGCGCTCGTCTGCTTGTGATTGTCGTCGTCGTCGTCGTCCCTCATCGTAAACGCTGCCGTCGTCGTCCTCGTCGTCGTCGTCGTGCCCGTCGTCTGCCTGGACTCGCACGCACACCCAGGCACTCGTAGCCAGACGTTCACGGCAGACAGGGTCAGGAAACGAGATGCGCACACCTGCGGGGATCTTTGCGTCTAGAAGCAGAGTTCCCCTGCGCGCAGCGCCCCCTCTCGAGGAAGATGAGCGCCTCGAGGGCCCGCAATTCGGATAGGAGTTCCGTTTTGAACGTAACGCCTTCCATCCTTCGAGCGATATGGATTTCGACAAGCTGTATGTAAAGCTTGGGAAGAAGAGAAGCGCAACGTGGCAGCCTCGCTTTGGAAAGGAGTGTTCGCCGTCCGAGTCGATGTTGCACAAGGTTTAACCCCTGGTTGTGACATCTAGCCCATCTCAGGCGGCAGCACCGTTTTGAGAAAACGAAGCCACCTTCATCCGCGAAGCTGTTGCACACGTGTCACTTGCGGTACAAAGTTTCGAGGGCTTTCAGCGAGAGTCTCATTCTGAATCGTTCCAGCCTCCATCCGTGTATTTGGTTCAAGTGTTCAGGACGGCTTCGTACGCCGTTCAGGCGGGAGCTGGATCTTCAAAAACGATTGCCCGTGCACCTGTATCACAGCTGGAGCTTTTTACCCTCATGAAAGTCATCTAAGAACATGCTAAGCAAACGCCGGGCCTAGCCTACAGGCACGCCTGGTGGTGCGACAGGGAGGAGGTGTGTATGAGGAAGGATCGGAGGAGGAGGAGCAGGAGGAGGAGGAGGAGGGTGAGGAGGAGTAGGAGGAAGATGGCCAGAGCAAACCCAAGATGTATGCACGATGCTGCAATTCACCCGTCCGTCACAAGCTCCCCTGCACGAGTTCTTGCAGTTTTTCCACTGCGTGAAGTGCCCCCCTCGGGCCCGCGGTTCGGGCGGGAGCTCTGGGTCGAAAGGAGCTGCACTCCTCCCCCGAGGATCGGGCCGGGCGAAAGGGGGGGATTGAGAAAGGGGGGGTTACAAAATTTGCTGCATGCAGCTGGTTTCGGCCTCGCCGAGGGGCCGCAGTTCGGGCGGGCACTCTGGGTTGAAAGGAGCCGCATTCCTCCCCCGAGGAGTGAACGAATGGGACAGGGTGGGTCGGGGTTGGACAGAACCCCCAACAGTGACACGTCGACTAGTGAATTGTCCGTTTTCGGTTCTCGAGAGGACGCCGTGGCCGTTATTTTCCATGCTTGCGCCCGCCAGGTTTGGGCCTCGGGTCGTTTTCACTAAACCACGTTTTACTAAAGGGAGGTCTGTCCATCCCCGAGTGGGGTCATCCAGTTCAGGGACGTGCCGAGCGACGGCCCCGCTCTCACAAAGAGCCGCCCCCCATCCGTGTAACTTCTGCAAGATGTTGGATTGCGATGGCCTTACGGCCGGTGCCGCCGACCCTGACGTTTGGGAGGAGGGCGCGGAGCATGGGGAGGAAGATGAAGAGCGGGACAGGAGGAGGAGGAGGCGGATGAGGAGTAAGAGCAAAGGGGGGGGGAATGAATAGGAGGAGAGTGAGGCGAGCAGGGTCGCGGGGGGGGCACGAAGGAAGGGCAGGGGCGAGTAGAGCGTGGCGATCATGAGGAGGAGAAGGAGGGAGATAATGGCGAGGATGTTGACGATGTTGACGACGACGCCGGTTGCCTATCAGGACCATTCGGGGCGTCTCGGGGCCCTCCTGGGGCGATTTCCAGGGTTCCTTCGTTGTTTTGAGGCTAGGTTCGGCATCTTCGGCATCTGGGAGGCCGCGGAGGTGTAGTTAGATTTGGAGGACGTTGGGGCCAGGATTGGGCCAGGGCTGGGGCCGGAGCAGGCCGGGAACCAGGGCCAGGGCTGGGGCCGGGGCCAGGCCCGAGGCTGGGACTGGGGCCGCGGGCCCCGGGCTCGGACCGGGGCCGGCCGGGGCCGGGGCCAGGGCTGGGACCATGGCCGGGGCCATGGCCGGGGCCGAGGCCCGGACTGGGGCCGGGGCCGGGGCGGGGGGCCAGGGCCAGGGCCAGGGCTGGGACTTGGCCGGGGCCGGGGCCGGGGGGAGGCGGAGCCGGGGCTGGGGCTGGACTGGGGCCGGGGCCAGAGCTGGGGCGTGGCAGAATGCCTCGGTTGTCGTGAGGCTTTTTGTGGGCCCCGGGCCTCCAGGGGGGGAGTCTGAGTCGTATCTCGAGGGGGGGCCTCCCCGGGACCCCCCCCCGGCGGGGGAGGGATCAAAGGGAAGGGGCTTCTCTTGGATTCAATGGCAACCTTGCTCTTGAGGGGGAGGCCCTGGGAAAGCGGCGGGTGAGCGGCAGCGGGCCCAGGGAAGAGGATGGAAGGGGAGGGGGGGAGACAGGCTCAGGGAAAGGGGGAGTGCAGGGACAGGAGTCGAGGCTGGCCCAGGGAAACGGTGGGCGCAGGGACAGGAGACGACGGAGACGACGACGAACGAACGACGGGAACAGACAAGCCCCTCACACACGCCGACACAGGGTCTGCGGATTTCTTGTCGTACATACGCAGACCTCTCAGGCGAGAGCCGTATATTTGTTGTGCACTTATCTATTTCTGTTTATTCACTTAACCAGAG